CAACAACATCTGAGTCTCATGGCAAAACCTGATGATAAACATCATACTTAAGAAAATATTCCAAAGTAAACCCAAATACTAAATAAAACAATACTATTTTTACAGGACTTTTAATGAATTAGTCCATAAAGAATTTATGCTTTGGGGACTTGTAAATGTTGCTGTAATAACAAGAAATGGGACCCTTTTCTGGGAAGATCATGTCCCCTATCCAATACCTTCAAGTACCCCTATGAAAAACAGCACAGCTAACAACTTGTTTTGTCTTTTTAAACTCTAGTACATAACATCAACTCAACCCCCTCACAATAGCTTTGTGAGGTAGATTGGTAGGTAAATAACAAATATCATCTTCATTCTGCAAATGAAGAAACTGAGGCACTGAAAGGTTATGATTTGCCCAAGGTACTCAATGAGTCAATGATGAAATTGCAAACAGTTACATTATTTCTGCTCCTGGCCTATTCTATTGCTCTTTGACCACACTTCACAATAAAAAGCTATGTGTGTGTTCCCTTAAATAAGCAGTTTATAAGCAGTTTACCTTCAATTGAGAGTAAATCTATCCATTGATGATAATTTTAAAGGGAATCTAATCTCAAAGATCATAAAAACTCAAAAGATCAAAAAAAATTAGATAACTAGGATGATGCATTATTCCTTTCAGTACCCGCAAACAACTGTGTCTTTTCAAAATTTACATGATGACACTCATTCAAGAGGAAAATAAAAATTTTAAATTTATGACTCAGGGAAAGATTGCCTTCAAGAAACATATAATCATATTGTTAGGGTGACCATATAATTCATCTTCAAACTGGGATACTTGAGAGTGAAAGTGAGTACTATAAATGATTACAAAAGACAACAGGTGTTAAACTGAGACTGTACTGGGAAATCTCAAGTATGGTCACCCAATGTAGCATGAATTGTCTAAGAGCTGCAAATATTTCACAGACATAAAAAACTCTCTACAAGCATGTTGCACTCAACCATGTTCACTGGTGCTTTAAAATATAATGCCTAACTTTGGCTGAAACACAAAGGTTAAAACAATTTAAAATAATAAGCATATTTAACCAAGTTATTACTATACATTTCCATTCTAATATCATTTTCTGTTTTCTATAAACCACATTTTAAGTGTCAGTAATAACAGCAAATGGACTCACTTTTTACCTTTGAATAACCACATTTTTTTATCAAAAAATATAACCAGGCATCTTTTAATATTAGAGAATTTTGTGGAACTCTTTGGCTACTAAAAAAAATAAAACAATTTACCATTAATGCTTAAGATTTATCCTTGAATGACATGATCAACACTTAATATGCTAAATGATAAAAATGATCATTACTTTCTAAAATGAAAATCTTTCACAAAGCAATACCAAATGCATAAACAAATTCAGTTACTATACAGACTGAAATAATAATATATCATCTGATTATAGTATACATGCTAGTGACACTAACACTTATCAGCTGAAGTATAATCTTAATTATACATGCAAAAACCCCACTAATTTGCAAACAGATTTTAAAAAAGCACTTTTTACATTCAGTTATGTCTGGTAAGTAAGCCTTGTTTTAAGACATGGATTTTATGAATATGGTTATTATCTGAGGTCTCCATTCACTTACATTTCTTTGGGAAATACAGGTTAAACATTTTTTAAATAAAAACAATGTAAATCACAATAATAAAACTGTATAATATTATTTAGTATGACTTATGGCTTCCTTGAACCTTTAAAATAACTTCCTGAAAAAAAATTAATCTGAAACAAACTGCACTACACATTGTCAATATATTCTTATCCTTTCCATGAATTAAATCCTTCCACTGTAACTGTACTTCTAAGGCAGATGCTTAGGGAATGGTATGTAATAAATCTTGTTAGAAAAGACAATATTCTATTCAATGAGCAATAAACTATTATTAATAAGATATAATTAATTCTTAGTGCCTTTTTTGTTATCCTGATACTTTTCACTGAGAGTAAAAAGGAAATCCTAGAGTACACAGAATGTTCATAAAGGCTGAACTGATGTGTTGACATTGGTTAGCTGTTCCATAAATTTTTTCAGGCATTACACATCATCAAATATTCCGGCATAAGACATGGAGTGATATCGTCCACCAGGCTGATACCTAAAAGGTGAACATTAAGAAATTATCTGAAGCATCAATCGAAAATAATAAAGAAGGAAAGAGAAACAAGAACACATTAAAAGGAAGTTGCTACATAATTTGTTTACACTGTAAAATCTATTCAGTAGCTGAAAGCAGAAACTTACCCTCCAAGGAAATTATCCAAAAGGACTTAATTATAAATCAACCAGCAACTGTTTTAGAGCCTAGAATACATGCATGACAGAGTGAGGGATGTACAAAGAAAGAGGGGAATGTAAGACACATCTAGATTAATCAATTTAATAACCACTCCATTATTGAACATAATATTCTAAGCTTTTTGCTATATATAGGCAATAGTATAGTAAACATCTTCATGCATAGGATATTTTGCTTTTGTTTAATTATTTCCTCATAGCATAGTGGCTAAAAGCATAGACTCTGTTGCCAGAGTACTGAGGTTTGAATTCACAAGTTGTGTGAATCTAGGCAATTTACTGGGCCTCTCTGGGTTGAAATACAATTTGATTGCAACCATACAATACGATATTATTGTTAAAGTGGTGAGAATAGGGTCTGACACCCAAACATGGCTATACAGCTCTTATTAAGGTATAATAAATTTTGCAAATGGGACAGTCAGAAACAGGCATATAAATATTGTTATGATTCTTTGCTATATATTTCAATTCTTTCATATTTATAATACCATTAGTATTGTCTAAAGATACTAATTTCAATTACCACTACTAGATACTATAATTTTTTTAAAATATAAAAGCATTATAAGGTATAAAAAGGTATCAACAGTTACTTGATATATTTTTTATTACTAATAAAGATGAACATTTTCTCTTACTTTATCACTTGTTTACTTTTACCTTTACTATCACCTGTTTTTAACCTTGTCAAGTCAGTATGTTATTAAAATTTCAGAGGAATGCCAGGGCCAAATGTCATAGCCAGAACATACCTTCTTGATTCAGGTTCAAGAGGATCATCAGTGAATGTTTCTGCATTAAAATCCAAAGGTTCTGCATCTTGGAGAAGTTCTATTCGGTCCCTTTCAGTCCTATTATTAGTCCTGGTATATTTGGATGCTGCTGCAAAGAAAGGAAAAAAATTCTACTTTCCTATTGTCTTTTAATTTATGGGCCACAGTCTATGGACTTACAAAAAGAAAAATCAAGAGTATAAGGAATCTGAATTTTCACTGTGAAGACAAATAACTACATGGTTCCTTAAAAATCTGATTAAAATTAAAAATAATATATAGGGAATAGCAAGGAAAAGTTTTCCAGCTTTGTGGTTAGTATAAGCTCAGAAGCAGATACAGTGCAAAGACATAATTAGTATAACTCAGAATTAATATTTAACTATGGTATCACAACAGTTGAAATTCTTCATTATCAAATGAAGTTTCAATTGGTTTCACAATGAATCTCATTTCTTGGCTAGGACTTTAAGGTATAATCAACCTTGAGCCCTTCAAGAAAGGCCTCAGCCTTCTTCCCATGAAACAAGAGTGTGGGCAGCACTAGACAACAGAAATAAAATATAAGCCTCATAGTTACTTTGAAATTTTCTAGTGGCTACATTAAAAAGTGAAAAGAAACAGGGGAAATTAATTTTAATATATTTAATTTAACCTCATATATCCAAAATATTATCATTTCAACACGGAGCACCAGCCATGTTGCAATTGCTCAACAGCCACATGTGGGCTAATGGTTATCATACTGGTCAGCACAGATCAGAAAACTAACTTTCCCTTCTCTGTGTGGATGGGGATTTCTTCATAAACAACCTAAATACTCATAATATTGTTTTGAGCAGTCCAAGTAGCTTTAAAACAACTTTATGATACAGTTCTTTTTGAAAACTTAAGGCAAGCCAATTCTATCATATTTACATTTTTGTCATCTTAGACTCTGCCCTAAATGCATGTCTCTTCATCTTTTCTCTCATTTAGTCAGCAAATAGCAATTACTCACCATATACCAGGATCCCTCTAACTCATAATGAGGCTTTGCGCCACCTCTTCTCTTAACCACTCTCCCATATTCCAGATCTTTCTATTTGTAAAATTCCACTCTGTGGTAAGCAAGCAACCAAATCTCTTTACAGAATCCTCCCTCTATTTCCTAGCTTTAACTAAAGCGTTAGCATTCTATTTATTCTACCAAAAATCTTATGCTTCATCTCACACTGAAATCTTACCTTCAGGACAAAATACAAACCTTTGAGCATGACAATATCTGTTCCCCAACTATTTCTATGGTCTCCCCTCTTATCAACCTCCTCATGCTTAGGCTCTAGCTGCAGAGAAGAATATGCATCTCCCCAGTGATTCTCTCATGCCACAATGTCCTGCATTTACTCTTCCTTCTGATTAAAACACTCTTCACCTGGCTAAGTACTACTGATTACTAAATACTCAGATAAATATTTCCTTATCACAGAAATATTTCTTTATTATAAAAATTCTTTCCCAAGATAGAACTCTTTTTCCATTCCCCAAGCTGAGTTCCTTCAGCATCAGATGTGTATCCTCCTGTCATAGCTCTCATGACAAGTCTACAATATTATAAATAGGTCATCATTAAATATTTCTAACATTTTCCATTTATCTCTTTTGTACAGTTTCCATCTGTCTGGTGAAATTCCTCCTGATCTGTTCATGTACATTGTCCAAGCTTTCCATGAGATATTTTAATGTACTAACTGGTTATTTTCAAGTCACTGCACTGTCTGATAATTCCAACATTTGAGCCACCTGTAGGTCTAGTATGTTGACTATTTTTTGTTTGAAAACAGCTCATATTTTCTTACTTTCTTGTGTAGCTCATAATTTTTGGCTAAATGCCAGGCACTGTGTGTAAAAGAAGAGATGGAGATAAATAATATTTATGCCCAGAATGGGCATACCTCTTCTATTAGATCATCAGTGCTGAGGGATTGAATCAATCTAATCTATACTTGATCTGGGTTTGGACTTTGTTGTTGGGTTAGTTATCTTAAGTCCCTACATATTTCACATTTCTCCAGTGATGAACTGCTATTATCTTGTAATTACCAGGGCCCCATCTGGCAAATGATTTCTCTCAGTATTTTTTTCCTATCCTCAGATTTAGCAGTCCCTGCATACATATGCCACAGAGGGAGTCCCTTTCCATGTTTCTACTCCCCCTCCAACAGTAGACTACTGTTGCTTGGTCACTACAAAACCTGCAGTTGGGTGGACGAGGTTGCTCAATTTTCCTGCTCCACTCTCAGTGCTAGGCAGGTCCCTGTGCATTATCCTTAGTGATAAGTCTCTCTCAGCAAACTGAAATCTCTCCCAAAGACAAATAACCTCTGCCTTCTACTCAGTGCAAGGTCCTAAGCAAAAACAAGTTTCTGGCACTTCCCCAGGGGCCTCATGTCACATTAATATATTTTTTTATTATCAGTAAAGATGAACATTTGTAGGGTCAATGATATGGGAAGGTTTCCTAACCCACCCTGGTGAGCGATGGCTTCTGCCTGGTATCAGTCCCTCACTTAATTATGAGCATCCTAAGGACAAGGAATTTATCTTCTTTGTATCATTGTATACTTAGGAACATGTCTGACATATATGGGTCAGCCAATAAATTATTATAAAAACAACTGAATAACCTATGTCTACTAATAGAAAAGTAAAGAAAAACATCAAGTAAATAGTAGAAACAAATACTTGCCTAGAAGATGCCTGGGATAAGTGCTTAAATTATTTAGGTTAATACACTTACAGCTATTCATTTGATGTCCCAGTTTCTCCTTTCCCTATCAGAATGAATATTTGAATTTCCCCTTCCTTCTATATACTGAGAAATGTGAGAAAGGAAGGTCAGTGCAAATGCACATTTACAATTCTACAAAGGCATTTCTGGATGAGTATCCTAACTCTCAGTCGCTATGCAAACAAGCATAAGAAAAAAAATTTCTAAGCAAACTAGCAAATAAACTACTTACATCGGTTGGTATTAATATCTGAGAAGTTTAACTCTTTAGGGTCAGTATGAACATTTCTGTTCCTAGTGGAATCTTCTCTATTGTGTCCATAACGTTCTTTCCATTCCTAAGAAATAAACATAAATGCATATACAACAAAAGACAAAAAATAATTCATCAATGTCAACAGATCATATATGCAAAATAATATAATTTAATTCTTTTTCATCAGAAATTCATTAGTAATCAGTACAATTATCATAGTACCTTTAAAAATCATAGGTCAATGTTTTTACCTTTACATGTAAAGTCACAGTCTCTATAAACTTTAACTTTTAAAAATGAAGACATTTATAAACATTTTTTGCTAACTATGATTATGTTAAATTATTCTATCTAAATCATCAAAAAAATATTACAACTACAAGTTTACCCTAACCATGTAAAAGTCATAAGAACCCATAATGACTGATGTTAAAAAAATTTCTTTCATTTAAATAAACTACAAATATTAGAGAGCTGAAAAGTCACTTTTAATAGCAAAATTAAAGTTGTATACAAACAACTTTAGATGTAATTAGACTATGACTCACACAGCATTTTGAGTTATCATAAACACAGTAAAACCATGTTAACTAGGATTCTACTCATCAAATTCTTAGAATCGAAAGAAACATTAGAGGTCACCTAATGCAACTTTCCATGTACAGTCTCGTTCTAAAACATCTGTGCCAGATGCTTTTTGGCTGACTAGATGACTATATGTAATTTTCTGGGTTTGTGCAGCCTACTGCAATTTTGGTAAACTGGAAATTAGAAATTCTTATAGAGAGGTGAAATCTAACTCCAGTAACTTCTACTCTTTGGTTCTACTTATACCTTCTGAAATAAAGAACAGACCTCTCTTTTACATGACATGTACTAAGATACACAACAACAACTGTCAAGTCTCCTATATTTACTTTGCCAGTATAGATACACTCAGATGTTAAAAATTTGTGGTAACTGTGACTAGATTATTTTTCTCATTTTTTGCTTTTGCACTCTCTAGGAGGAGGTTAGTTTGCCTCAGCAAATGGAGAACTGAAGAAAAATTGAAGATGGATAAAATTAATGTCATATTATAAAAAAGTATAACAATTTTAAAGCAATCAAAACCACTTTAATAGCAAGACTACATGAATTCATTCATTCAACAAATATTCACTGAGCATCTACCTTAGGCAAGGAGCTGCCTGGTGCGGGACACAAATGAAGTAATTGATTACTAGTGACTTTTACAGGTCCCATAGGACACCTAGCATATATATCTAAAAGTATTAAAATTCCCTTTCTTTAAAAATATATCCTGTGCCATTTTTCCTGCTGTTCTTTATCTTGAGCCAATTATTCCAAATCA